TGAAAAATGTTATTGTCTAAGTGTTGCTCGGGTTAGTTATGGAAGAGAAGCAATGGTCACAGGAGTAAGTGGCGATAATCCAACTCATCGTTTAGCTGTACATGATTTGAAAGGAGCTTGGACTAAAACAAATAGAGATGTTGCATTTGCTCTTTTTGATTCATTTATTAAAACACAGCAACTTAAAAAAAATTTATCAACTGCGGCTCTAAAAGGTTTCCACAGAGAAAGTACTTCTACACCACATAAAAATAGAATTAGAACTGTTGAATCGAAAAATACACCTACCCAAACAACACCATCAACATCTTCTAAACTACAACAAGGAGAAGCCGCTGGAATGTTACAAAGATTAATTGCTGAAGCTGCTAATAAACCAGTAGCATTCAGTGATGATTTATCAGTACAAACAAGAGGCCAACAATTGCGTGGACTTGCAGCGTGCCACCAGGATGACGTTTTACACAAAAATTGGCTCAGTAAGATACAATAAGAGATCAGATCTATTCAAACTATTGTATAATTATCCTTATGTTATAAGTTATTTCTGTTTATAGTTGCATTAGTGAATAGTCAAGTATTATTGAAAGGAATCGAAACACGCGGATATGTTATACTATCAGCAGCAAAAGCAGAAATATTACAAAGGGTTCATCGACCTGTATGGAAAGAGAGAACACTTGTTTCAAAAACAACCTGGGTTGGTTCTTTAGAATGCATGCAGTATTATGCTACAGTTAGTGCAAATATTGATGATAATATTGATGACAATATTATGTGGTTAACATTGGATAATATACAGGTATATTTCTATATAATTATCTATTAAAAACGATTCTTATTAAAAATGAATATTACTGATAACAAACGATTTTAGGAAAAAGATTCTACTGTGATAGCAGGTTTACCAGATGTACCAGCACTTGTAGGATCAGGTCAAAGTGTAGGTGGTGTGGTTAGTCAAACCGTTGGTGGTGCTGGTGGACCACAACATCAATTACAACGTATTGTATCAAGATGTAAATGCGAGTTTTTTTATGTTGGATATGGTCAAGCTTTAGATGTTGGATCTGTAGATAATATTCTACAACCACCAAGAGAAGAAGTTAGCTTATGGGAAAGAAAGGAATTTTCAGCTGCAGATGCATTTACATTAATGCATCATGATTTAGATGTATGCACAAACTCCTTACAATATGCAATGATTTTGGATATTGTAAATAATCTGTTATTATATGTAGAGCCTCGCAGAAAAGAAGCTTCTGAACGATTACAAAGAATGAGATTTCAATTACAATTACATTCCGTTGAAGACCAAAAACGACCTATACAACAATTACAAAATACTGTACGTGGATTAGTTGCCAAATTAAGAAGATTAGAACGCGAGACATATCTAGTACAAAAAGCACTTGCTGAGGAATCAAGTTCTGATTTACTGGTCGAAATGGAGCGATTAGAAGCACGAGTTTTTGAATGTAAAGAACAACTTAGTGCAAAAGCTGAAGAACTTGATGTAATGTTAAGTTGTTATAAAGAAACTACCGCTCCACCGAGTGCTTCAACAACATTAAAAGATAAACCAGCAGCAGTGGCAAGAGTTGCAGAAATTTGTTTTAAACATGCACAATGGAGACTTACTGACGCGGATGGTCAGTTAGGTATAGCAGATTTAATTCTGACTAATTTCTTGTATACAAAAACAAGTAAAACAGATGATTCGGTGGAACATCTTTTGGAATTAGGATATGTTAGAATGACAAATTTATTACCCAATCAAATCTACACAGAAGTCTTGACTCCGACTGAATTACAAAGTAATATGCCTGTTGATAGGCAAAGAGCTCTGAGAGTGTTTTGTAGAGAGAAAGCACCTGTTGCTGGCATTTCAGTAAAGGAACATTTCGAAATTAATGTAGTTCCTTTAACAATTGGTAAGAAATGAACTTAATGAAATAATATAACATTTGATAATTGTTATTCGTTATTATATTTTTAGGATTAACAAAAAAATTCTTCAATACAATGCTGAAATTCTGCTTTCCGGAAAGAGATCCAGAAGGGATAGAAGAACCACCAGCACCGCAACGAGATTCATCATTTTATGTACCCATTGAAAGAAGAGATGATGTCGAAAAAATGAAGGAGAGAGCTGATAAAAATAAATTGTTTATATACATTAAAATACCAGAAGTACCTGTTCGTGTATCCTACAAGGTAACATTAATACTATTCTTATATGAGCCATTCACATGGCAAAGCAATTAACTCCACTTTAAACATTGTTTTAAATTTTATTATCAAGGCACTTGATCAGTAATTAATTTTTTATATTTAAAATAAATTTTCTTAATAATTAAGCTTAACACCATTTAATAAAAACAATTTTTATGGTAGTTTAACAATAAATGGTAGAACAATGCATATTACTTTATCAATTTTTTATACGTTTTGTTTTGTGGAATTAGTCGATTTAGCATATGAGTGGTTCAATTTAAATCGATATTGCACTATTCTAAAATATAATTTGGTCGATTATAGGGCAATAAAGAGAAAAATTTAGAAGACGTTCGAGATTTTGCATTAGTTATACCGACATTAGAATATCATAATGTTACTTGGACATGGCTTGATCTTTTATTAGCTATGAAAAGTGACTCTCGTCGTGTAATATTAAGTCAAGCTATTAAACAAAAATTACAAATCAAACCAAGGGGTCCACAAGAAGAATCAGCTCCTCAGGAGGAAGATAAGGCTCGTCTACTTTTAGGTACTCGTCATCTTCCTGGTGATGCAAGAAAAAGAAATGTTTTTAAATTTAAGTAAATACACTTTTCGAATTTTGTGCTGTAAGAATTATTTAAAAGTATTTCAATGTATTATTTATTATTATAGAATGTTTAAACAAACTCACAGAAACTATATTATGTAAATCCAACTGTTTTGTGCGTTAAAAAATAGTTGTATATGAACGTATGATAAATATTGCATAGCCTTTTATATGTATATGCGTAGATATTGAATAACTTATTTTGAAGTAAATTCTTAATAAGTACTGAATAAATTGTGCTATGCTTCATTTTGTATATTTATTATTGTAATATATAATAATAATACTAATAAAATATTAAAATATTACAACATTGATTTGTACAATATATAATATTACTCTTTCTATACATTGCTAATAAATACACATTATATATTTTTTACTATAAACATTTAGGAAAAAGTTGAATGCACACAATAATGTTTCATGTAATAATCATGTTTAGTACGTTTATGTAAATGCTTGTACAAAAGAGAAAACTTATAAATAATAATTCTGCTATAATATTTTTGCAGTATTTGGCACACACAATAAATATGCAATTAATATATATTATTTTTTATAAATTCGTTGTGTGATATTTCTACATGGTTATTGATTTATTCTATGTATATTTGCACTATTAAATTATAATAAAATATATGTACATAAATTTTTATATTAATTGCATTGTATCATACATCCTATACGTTAATATTTTATATATCAATCATTTACAATTAACATAAACGAGAATTAGTTTAAATCAGTATGTAATTGAAAACAAAGAAGTGTTTCCATATTACAATTAAACTAATTTAACGCTTCTAATACAGTAATACACTTTTAATATATAAATATTTACAATTTATCAAAGTCATTAATTAGAGAGTTATCAGTGGTGCTTCTGCATTCTTTTTTGCATGTCTCCATGCATTTAGATCTGCCAAAATTCTTCTCCCATACGCCGTATGCAATTCTCTAAATGTAATTCTTGTACGAGGTACATTTTCTGTTCTACCAGGTGCAGATCTAACACTTTGAGAACGATGATGAGATTCTGGCTTATTAAAGGGATTATGTCTTTGCCTTGGTGGTGCCTTAGGTGATTGAAGTGGTGGAGTTACTGTTTCAACTTCTTCTTCCGCAGCATCTAATTGCCGTTGTAATTCTGCTACCATTAATTTCATATAATCGTAACTGGCACATGCTAAAGCTTTCATCCATTGTTCCATTGATTCCTAGAGGTAATGAACTTTTGATAGATACGATTGTAATTATTTAAATAAGTAATAAAAAATATTAATTATTTTATAATTTCTATATAACAGATGATTATTTTACTTGTGACTCAGCTGCAAGTGCATAACTTCTATTGTTTGGACCATGAAATACAATTTTGAATCCAAACTGTTCTTCATCTTCTGTTAATTCGATAGTACACCCCTCAAGAACAATCATACCTACAGGTTCTTTGTCACCACGTCGATCAAAATAAAATAATATGTTCCCTTTAAGAACAAACCATCTCCGTTGATATCCTCGATTAACTTCACCGCGTTTATTTAAGCAACCCTCTCTATCTATCGGTGTTGAGGATGTTGCAAATGCAACCATATTTTTTTCGTTGATTTTCATTTTTCTCTATGAACTATTACAGGTAAAATTACAATAATATTATATTAGGATATATATAATATGTCAATTATTCAAAAATATGAGACAACGACTTAAGATTAAGAAAAGATTTTAAGGTTGACCGAATACACATCGATCCTTTTAAAATAATATTGTTAATAATGTTCGATAAAATCATTATTAAAAAATTATAATTCTATTTTTAACATATTCCATTTTTGATATATTTTATTTCATATAAAATAAAATAATTACAAATAATACACTGATTACTTGTGCGTCAAATCTAAACTGACAACATTGACAAGGAGTATCGATGTATAGGTTAAGTTACGTCACATTTCCTTTTTCAGCTGACGCACGAGTCAAATGAAATATTAAAAAAAAAAAAAAAATGTTAACATTATTTTATTTTATCCTTAGATGATAATAATTAAAAAATCCTAAACTTAGTTAAATTAGAGATTATGTTATTTATTAAAAAAAAAAAGAAAAAAAATTACAACATTATTTTTTCGTACATATGAAAATAATTTAGTTTAAAAATGACTAGGTAGTTTCTTAAAAATTTTATAATGGCTGCCGATATCAAATGGCATACAGTGGTACATATAAATGTTAAAAAGTCTTGAAAAAGAAAAAATTTAGAAATAAATAATTTTTTTCTTTTTATTCCAAATATTAATTGTATAGTTAATTAGAGTAAATATGGGGAAAGGATTTAATAATTATATGTGCAAAAAATTTTTCCATCCAGCTTCGAGAGATAATTTAAAACGAGTGCGTACAATTTTGTTAACCTTTCCTTTTTAATAAGAATTTTACTTTGTAATTTATGTTTGTATTAATGTAGATTAATTTCATAGGTATGGATGGCAGAACAGCAAGCTGAGGCTTATAAGAAAAAGCAAGAAGAATTACGTGTTCAATATGAGAAAGAGCAAGATCTTCATAATAATAAGTAAGTCATCTAATATTATAGATATAAGATGTAATTATTAGAAAAATACAATTTAAGATTTAACTTTATTTTAATTTTTTTTGTGTATTATACTTCTTTTAAATTAAATAAATAAATAATTATAATATTATTTTACAGAGCACTGTTAAGTAAAGAGAGTAAAGATAAATTAAGTGTTAATTTTATGTATGAGCCTCCTCCTGGAGCAAAGAAAGAAAGAGAAAAAGAAGATAACGAACCAGAGTATAAATTTGAATGGCAAAGAAAATATAATGCACCAAGAGAAAGTTATTGTAAAGGAGATAGTGAAATTCGAGACCAACCTTTTGGTATTCAAGTTCGAAATGTTAGATGTATTAAATGCCACAAGTGGGGCCACATAAATACAGGTTTGATAATCTATTAAGTTTATCTTTAAAAGATATCTCATTAATTTATTATGGATTTATGATGTCAGAAGCATATATAATTTTTATTATTTCTAGACAAAGAGTGTCCTTTATATAGTCAAGCAATGAGCGTAGTAATGGCAAATAATTCAAATTTGCCACAGACACCTGATGCTTTGACTTTAGTGCAACAAATGCGAGAAGATGGATTAGCGCTTAAAAAGTACGAAAAATATGAAGAATGAAATTATTGATTAATTTTAAATATAGGTTTAAATATATCGTTTACTCTAATATTATATCTTTATGTATATATAGATCTGCACTGGATGCTCAACAACATTTACGGGTACCTGGCCATGAACATTTGATGGTTTCTGACGATGAAGAAAATTCTGAGATTACATTTCTAAAAACTCTTTCAAAGCAAGAAAAAAAGAAATTGCTAAAGTAAAATATAACTGTTTTTTTTTTTTATTAACACATTACGTACAGGTGACGAGATATCTCGTTTTCATGCTTTTGTTTTTCTTGAGCGCCCAAAAATGTGCGGGTCCTGGAAACGTATTGAGCGAGCAAAGTGCCGTACGCAATGTGTTAATATAAACTATATATAATTTAAATGACATAGAATAATTTTTATTAAAAATTATATTTTTGTTTGTATAGGAAACTTCGAAAGCTTGAGAAGAAAAATATGAAAATAAAGCAAAAAAAATTGAAGAAGAGAAAAGTTCGAAATAGTAAAAAATCTCGCAGTAGTAGTAGTAGTAACAATGAAAGTTCAAGTGATAGCAATTGTAAAAATAGCCACAAAAGCGTCAGTGATGATACTAGCAGCAGCAGCAGCAGCAGCAGTAGTAGTAACAGCAGTAGCACCAGCAGCAGCAGCAGCAGCAGCAGTAGTAGTAATAGTAGCAGTAGTAGTAGTGATGAATTCAGTACAGAAAGTAATAGAAAAAAATTAAAGCGCAAAAGGAAATCGCAAGGAAAAGCAGAGACGAATTCTCATGGAAAACATAATGCTAATCGACATAAAGATAAAGAACGAAAAATAAAGCATAAGTTAGAGGATAAATATAAATCAAGTAATAAAATCAAGGATGAAAAAAGAAACAAAGACAGGACCATCGATCATGACACTCGTAAAAGGAAAAGTAATGAATTACATAGCGATAAGAAACGTAAGAAACACTGTGAAAGAAAGTAAACCATTTCTATTTCGAAGTACTGAAAAAGAAAAGAAGAATAATAAAAATAAATAAGTATAATTAATAGAAAACAATTATATGATTAAATTTGTATTTTTACATTAAACCATATATTTTATTGTATAAGAATAATAATTCATTTCTTTTTTCTTTGATTAGTAGATGATTTAATTTACTTAATAAAAAACCATTTATGCAATGTAAGTTATTATTGTATAATTGATCATTGAAATATGTTAAATATATATAATTGAAAATGTTGTTTATAAAAATAGAAATGTATATTTTCCTTATCAACGAAATGAATGATAATTATCAACGTTATTAAATAAGTACTTATAAAAGATGAACATATGATATATTACCGAGAATGTTTTTATTTCTATCATTATGTAAATGGATAAAATATAGGAAGCATTTATTTCACAATAAAATACGTTTATTTACTACACTTTGTACCTTTCAAATATATTCCATCTTTTGACATAGAAGTGTGATAAGAATATTATTTAAATTGTATTTGCAAAGTAGTGTCATTTCATTCTTATTAATTTAATATCAAGAAAGTGTGTTAATGATAACAATTTTTTTACTTAGATTAAACTGTTTTTTCTTTTTTTTTTTTTCATTTTCTTTCTGTCCATTTTTCCCGTTTTCTTACTTTTAAATAGAATAAAGTATAAATATCAAACTGTAACACTACCTGAGAACAACAACTATGAATATTGGGCAGTTAAAATTCTGTTTGAATAGTAATTAATTTGTTCATAATTATTGTATCATTAACTAACGACATTATTATCTCATATTTCACAGAACTGTATCCACTGAGCAGCTACATAAAACATACGATGCAGAACTCCTGTTTTACAATATTTTATGAAATTATTAAGCATAATTAGCGTTGATATTTTTTATAGCATTAAGTTTATATTTTATTATAACTCGATGAAATATTGATTTGATGTATATTAAAACATGCTTTTACTCGTTAAACATTGGTTTTAAGGGCTATTATTGGTAATAATCTAACATCTAATTTAGATATATAAATTGTTACAGAGAAGGAGATTCTTAATTTTGTTGATTTGTATTTATCTTGGTTTGGGTTTTTGTTCTTTATATTTATGTTAATTAGAATAGCTTTTATTGAAATTTCATCATATTTAGTTTCATGTATATAAACATATATTATTATTCCTAATTAAAATGAAGAATAATCGAAAAACCAACATATGGTGATATGTAAAATACATATTTCATTATTATGTATATACTTCAAATTTATATTTCATCATTTCAGTAATTATATGTTCTATGAAAGCAACATATAATTAACATTACTGCTTCTGTAGCAAAAAGTTAATATTTTACCATAAGTTTCTGTCACATATATATATACATATATATTTATATATATGACAGAATGTATATATATATATTTATAGAAACTGAAAAATTAGCTAAATGTGCATGTTGGACCATTATAGCATTATTGCATAACCAATTTTTCATAGCAGAAACATTAATTCTGCAATATAATTTTGGAAGTTCAATAATGTCTTATAAGTTAGCATTATTAAACACTGGCCACTATAAATGATTTGGTAGTCGACCAACGTCCATCATTTCAGTATCTTCTATGTTATTGTGCCCTACTATATGATGCCTAAAAATCAGCATGTATCAATTGTTTGCCAATTACATTCATATTATATGAAAAATAATAAAACAAATATATTAGCAGAAACATTAATTTTCATTTTTAGGATTGGCACCCTTTGAGTTACGTTAACATTGTAGTTAATGAACATTTTATTTTTATTTATTTATACAAAAATATATATAGCTACTAAAAATATTGAAAAAAGAAAAGAAGGAGAAAAAATGTTAAGTAAATGTTTTTATATCGTATATATGCAGGTTTTAAACATATTAAAGATTATATAGTGCCAGCCCTACATGTTATTTTCTCTATAAATATATTTTATAATGTTCTACAATCCTGAGAAATAAAGGTATTTTAATTATTTAGATATAATTTACCTAAGTTGATGAAACTGAGAAGGCGTATGAAGGTGCGTTTCTGGAGTCCTTGGTGATAGACTGTGAAGACTTCCACTAAAACCAGTACTTAAAAGTTCTCTGCGTGGACTTCTGGCATTTATAACTCTTGGTTGTGTATACATTTCCTCTAAGACGCTTGGTGCTACATATGTGAAACCCTATATACAAGACGAAAATTTGTATATTTTTTGTAAGAAGATCTTCATCGCATTTTCATCGTGTTTTGTATTATATTAACGAATTGGTACAATTACTTGAAATATCATATTTGCGGATTCACTTAAAGTGCTTTCAACAGGTGAATCTACCGGAATGGTTGCGGTGAATTGTTCATCAAATTGAGATGTATCATCTGCACTTTTCTAAAAGATTATTAATACTGATATATTATCAAGAATCATGTTGCATAGTACTATTTAAAATACGAATTAAATAAGTTCGAAAAGAATATTTATACCAGCGATGGCTTAAAAGGAGGTTCCAATTTACGTGAAATAACATCTTCCCAACTAATGTGTTTAAAAAAATTATGATTAATTATTTGCTCTGCATCTTCAGGTCCAGATCCTAATCTTTGACCAACTTGCCTCTATAAATTTCGAAGTATATATTAAAGTAATTTATTATAAAACACATATATTATTAATTACAATTATTGTTAAAAACCTTTAACAGTTTACGAATCAGATCTCTTGCATCGGGTGTAAGATACTGTGGAAGACATAATTTTCCTCTTAATATTTTCTCAATTGTTTTTCTTCTATCATCACCGGTGAATGGAGGCTGTCAAAATAAATTTTACATATATATCAATCATATATAGTTTTTACTATATTTAAAATATCAGGCAAGTAATATATATTAGGTAACATATTATTGTCCATAATACTGTACCATTCCTGTGAGCATATCAAACATTAAAGCACCTAAACTCCACCAATCAACAGCTTTTCCATGCCCACTTCTGGTCAAAATCTCAGGAGCCCTAAATTTTATAATTAATACCAATAAAATAACTACTTAAATAAAATAATTACGAAGTTCTATTTATTGAAAAGATAGATGATCAATACTTGCATGTATTCTATGGTTCCACAGAATGTATGAGTTACTGTACCATCTTGTATATGTTCTTTACAAAGGCCAAAATCTGTTAATTTTACATGACCTTCCCCATCTAATAAAATATTTTCTGGTTTTAAATCTCTGCAAGCACATAATTTTATATTGAAATATATTATATAAGTGTACTAATATTGTAAACAAATTACTTATGTGAGAGATTAAATATACCTATATATAATTCCTTGATTATGAAGATGTTGCAGGGCAAGTATGATCTCGGATAAATAAAAACTGGAAGAATACACAATAAACATATAAAAAAATAAAATATATAATTATATTATAATTTAAATTGATTAATGATCAAACTTTTTTCGATATATATACAGTATTCCTCCATTTACACGGATAATTGGTTCCACGAAAACAGCATGTAAATGGAACTATGAAATGCTGTTTAAGATAAAGGTCTGTTCCAAATTCTCAAATATGTATTCAACTCTTACTGGAATAGAAAACTAAGTTTACACGATTATAAGATAAATTACACTGAGAAACCCTCGAATATGTGTTCTCACATAATGCATTGTTGTGACATATGCATTGTAGTAGCTTAAGTGTGTTAAAGTGAATCTGTGTACATGGAGAAATTACTGTAATATAAATTTAAAAAACAACATAAAACTAACCATGCTGTATCTTCTAAAAAAATGCCTTCTCGATCCAAATATGTAAAAAGTTCTCCACCGCATAAATATTCCAAAATTAAATATAATTTACCTCCAGTTTGAAAGGCATACATTAAATTAACAATGAATGGATGCTATAAGAATATTTTATATATAAAACATGTAGATATATATATGATTAAAATAGCAAAACATTTAATGGATCTATTTACCTTGACAGCTTCTAATATATTTCTCTCTGCCTTAGTATGAGCTGTATCTTTTTGATTTCTTATAATAGATGCCTTACGTAATACCTGATATATAAAATATAAAAAGATAATATATCTTTACGTTGTTTATTTATTTGTATTGTTTCAATATGGTTATGCATTTTAAGCAGTCTGTTTTGATTATTGATGATATGGCTTATGATCCAAAGACAAAAACTATCTTACTAGTCGTAATAAATTTTCCTTACTTTCATAGCAAAGATGCTGCCTTTATCTTTACCCGTAACTTTCCTAACTTGGAAAACTTTTCCATATCCTCCTTCGCCAAGGATTTTACACAATTCAAAATCCTGAGGGCCAGTTTTCTCTTGCCCAGGATTAACATTTTGTTCTGACAATTGTACTCTTTCCAAATTATCAGATCTAAACATATGTACTTAATTAAATAATAATCTATTAAGACCGATATTATATCTATTAACAATATATGTAATTCTAATTATTATTTAAATCTAAGCATAATAATAATATACCACGTGATAATATGTTGACTTAATATGTATACTTACTCCAACATTGTATCTACATTAGAAGCATGACTATATTCTTCCTAAAAGAGAATAAAACACGTGTGTGAGAGGGGGGAAGAGAGAAAGATGAAGTGAAAATCAGAGAAAAAACTAGAATAAAAAATTGTTATTTCTAGATAATATTTCGATTAAAATAAATTACCTCTCTGGTTTCAATAACATCGTCATCAGATTCATCATGATTTACGTTATCACCTTCGTGCAATTCAATATCGAATACTCCAGCCATTATTTTTTACTGTGAAAATTTATAAATAGTACATAACGAGAAAAGATAAATAATATTTAACTTGGAGTATGACAAATAAGCTCGATTAGTTTTTTTTTTTTCGTTTTCTTATGTGAGTGCGTATACGCGTTGTTTCGTTTCACTCTACTTTGTAACTAGGGTTAATTAATAACAAGTTAAGTTTTACATATGTATGGATAAAACATGGACATATATACACGTAAAGCGTAATAACATTACCACGAAAAAATATGTTTATTTCATTACTTCAATTCTTATAACGGCCTTTTATGATATCTAATTATTTGAAGAAAAAAATCTATGTATATATAAACACGTGAAGCTTCTTAAACTGACTGAAACTATACGACTATGTATATCGAACTGATTCGACATATCCATATATATACAAAATATTATCAAAGAATACAGAAGTGCATAGAAGCTCAAAAGTTCACTTTTCGCAGAACCAAAACCATCTTAGTTAGTACCCTAACCACCAGTGGGCGAGAGTAGGTAATGACAGTACAATACTATCAAACAAAACTGCATTCCTTGATAGTATATGAGAATATATATATATAGAATAGTTTTATATTGAATAGAATTTTAAATAATTATATTAAATTTTTAGTATATAAATATGTGTGTTCCTTTAGAAATGCATTTATGCATTTATTTTAAAAAGTAGTCATATAAGGAGTCATATTCTGTTTTTATGTGTGCCTTCAGAAATGCCTTTATACATATATATTTTAAAAAGTAACAATTATAGAAGCTCAAGTAGAAAAAAATCAAAACGAGTTGATGATAAATCCAACGATGATCACCTGTAACAAAAAGCAAAATATATTAATCATACAATCAAATGATAAAATAGCCTAACATATAAGTGGTCCAATTCACAGATGCA